AGAGCGGGGCCGACGAGTTGGGCGAAATGTTGGGCTCTGTTTGGATGGTGAACGCTGAAATGAAGATCGGAAAGCTGAACCACCCAAACCACGGAATCGGGCTCTCCTTTGACGAGTGTAACTCCTTCATTGGTTGCACCTGCTGAAACGCCACACACAATCGCAAGAAGAAGAAGAAGAAGAAGAAGAAGCGCTGTGGTGATTCCAGTGTTTTGGATTCGCAGTTTCATTTTGAATTGGTCAAATTCTTCGCACGGGATTGGGATGCATTTCGTGCGCCACTCTCATCAAATTGAAGACACACTGAATCATGTTGCTTCCTCCTCTCAGATTATTTTCTATTAATTCATAATCTCATTTCTTAAATTTAAATTAATCCACTAATTTATACATATCATTCTTAATATGTATGTATAAAAAAAAGTTAATCAATATACTCTCGGTTTATACAGAAAACTAATCATATTTTTTAAATTATTTTATTTTATTTTTATTTAATTAAATAAGTAACTGATATGATAATATTAAAAGGTCTAATTAGTTACCGATATAAAAAAATTTACACTAACAATATATAAATAATTAACTCATAAAAAACATGTGTGTTGAATATGTTCCTTGCGATTCAATCTTATGTCTCAAGAAATTAGGCCAACACTTTATTTGAAAAATATTTTGAATTAAATAATAATAATAAAAATAAATAGTGTATTACTTTATATAATAACAATTATTTTTCATATTAAATATCACTCTCTTTTCGATTTTTAACCTAATTATATATGTCAAAATAATGCTTAAGGTTTCTTTATATTTTGCTTATTTTTGTATCGAATCAAACAACCTAAAATTCTAATAATTTTCTACTTAATCCATCTTCTCTTTTACTTATGTTTATATACTTCTTTTCTCACCCAAACATAAGCTAAATGAACAATCATAAAAATGTAAATATTAGTTCGAACTCAAATATCAACATGTTCCTAAAATAATAAAATGAACAGCTGTTTTTGATCTCTTTATTCAACATAAAAGAGCTTTAGGTAAAATAATTCAAAAAAATACATGATTAAAGAATGAGTTGCATATGTACTACTTGGGTTGGATTAACTCGAGGTCGAGGGTAACCCCAAGGTAGATGATAAACACATCTCCACTCTCGTATTAACACACTCCCTTTTTTAAAAAAAATATATAAAATATCTAAATTACACTTTTAAAAAAAAATAAAATTCTTAAATTTACATCTCCCTTCCCCGCACCGGCACCAGAACAGGCCGTTCTGCAAGAAGAACGGCCTGTTCTGATTGCAGAACGGCCCGTTCTGCAAGCAGTACAGGCCATTCTGCTTGCAGTACGGGCCATACTGAAAGCAGTACAGGCCGTTCTGCTTGTAGTACGGGCTGTTCTAGGGCCGTTTTGAGGCTGTTCTGTTGCAGTTCAGGTCACCGCGTCACTTTTAAAATGGCTATCTTATGACTGATTTTAAAACTCTGATTTTAAAAGTCATTTTTTTACTAGTGTGTCTTTCCATAGAACAAGTAAGAGTCTTTCTCTTACAAGACCACCTGCTGTGCACCCCTCTTCTTTCTCTTTCTAGCACTCCTCTTCTTTTTTTTTTCCCACACCTCGCAAACCCCTCTTCTTTCTCTTTCTGGCACTCCTCTTCTTCTTCTTCTTACTGTTACAGAAAGTTCTTTCCGGAATTATATAAAAATGTTCCGGAAAATACTTTCCATAATATTAAATTCTTATTCCGGAAAGTATTTTTCGAAAATGTTTTGTTACATAATTCCGGAAAGTACTTTCCATAATATTAAAGTTACTATTACGGAAAGTTCTTTCCGGAATTATATGAACAATAATTTTACTATTCCGGAAAGTACTTTCCGGAATGCTAATGACCGTAAAAGAACCCTTCTTATGCTGGTTATGGTAGGGCTAGTCCTTTTTTTCTATTCAGAATGACTGTAAAAGTATATTGCTTAATGATATTGAGCGAAAAAAGGCTTTGGGAAGAAGAGGGGTGTAGAGTGTGGGGTGCAGGGAAAGGGGATGTGGGGAAGGGAGGTGTAAATTTAGGAATTTTATTTTTCTTAAAGGGTAATTTAGACATTTTATATATATTTTTTAAAAAAGGGGATGTGTTTATACGAGAGTGAAGGTGTGTTTATCATCGGCCTAATCCCAATTCGTCCTCAACTTCAAATAAGGCCCAATGACAAATAAGCTTAATCATAAAACTGGGTCTAACCAATCTCAAATGCTTTATTTGGGCCGGATTGAGTTTTAACCCCAGAGTTCAATTTTTTTTTTTCCTCTCTCTCTCTAAAGAAAACCAAATAACATTTTTTAGTTATACAGATTTGCATTAACAAAAATGAATGCGAACTTAAACCGGAAGAGGAAATGGTACAAATAATACCTGAAAAAAGGGTATTTAGTAATATTTAACTTAATTTTAGAGTTATTAAATTTTTCATGGTTACATTTAGTGTTGTTAAAATGAATAGGTACGAAAAATTAATACGATACGATATAAACTTTACACGAATGAATTTCATCGTAGGATTGGTAATAAATTTGCATATGAAGGGGAAAATATAATAAAACAAAAGTCAATTAATTAGAAATGAATACTAAGATAAACTTTCAATTGTATATATAAATACAAATTATACAATTAAATTATAACTACAGTAGAAAAATAAAATTTTTAATAAAACAATTCTCAGAGTAAGCCACCCAATTCATTCATATAAACTCATGCATGTTAAAAAGGAAAAAAAGTTCAGTTAGGTTGAGTTATCTAACTTTTGTTACATTTATTTAACCCCACTAGTCATTTAATATTAGAGTTAGGTTAATTGGTACAGAATAAGTCACAACTCATTTCAAACAATACACAACCTTAACAAGTCATGCACTATGAGAGTATTCTTAAAGCATTAATTAAAAATAAAATATATATTTAATAAAAATAGCATCGTTATCTTAATTATAAGGTTTTGGAAAGTATTTACTTATACACTTAATAAATTAAATAAAAAAATTACTTTTCAAATTATATATTACAAACTAGGGGTGAGCAACGGGTGGGTTTGGTCGGGTTTGAGTGAAAAATGTTCAACCCGTTGTAAACCGGCTTTGAAAAAATGTGACCCATATCCGACCGACTGAGCTTTCGATTTGAGGCGGTTCGGGTTGAAACGGATTCGGATTTAAGCGGGTGGGTATAATCGGGTTTGAATTTTTTTGTAGACTAATTTATCTTAACGAAGATGAAGCTTAAAACGATAAAAAATATTTTTAAAATAGTGTATAAAAATAGAATGAAGGTGACAATAGATGGTGTAAATAGATTCGTAGTTGAAACATTTACAAACTAAAGAAGCAAAAATAAAAGATAACAAAATTCATAGTTGTTACATGGAAAAGAAATATAAAGTTAGATTACAAAACCATAAGAAATCACAGTCACACAAAATGTACTCAAAATGGAGATAAGAAGATGGAAAAGAAAGACAAAGAAAGAAGCAAAAAGATAACTCTAAAAATGGACTAGTGTGTTGAGAAGTTGAATGAGGAAGGAGAAGACAAAATAAATATCTAAGTTATGAGAAAAAGGAAAAAAATAAGTTACAAATTGATGGCTATATTATACTTGAAATAAAGACTTTTAAATTTGGACCATTGTTGTTTAGTTATACAAAAGTAATAAAAATTTAAACTTATCTCATTTTCGGTTGGGTTCGGTTTTTAGCGGGTTTAAAAATTCAAAACCGAACCCGCCCAATATAACCCGTATAAAATCAAAATTTTAACCCGATTTACCCATAAGACCCGCCCGAACCCACCCAAAAACAATATTTTTTTTCAGGTTTTTCGGGTTCGGTTCGAGTGTCGGTTTAATGCTCACCCCTATTACAAACGCGATATACAATATAGTAAACGGAATTCATCTTATGAAATTTATTAATTTTACGGCCCATGTTATATATAAATATATAGGTGTTGACACTACAAGCAATAGGTCAAAAGTACCTTTCTCTGTCAAATTACGAGGGCTTTTTGTCGAGTAGGTACATTTTTTATGTTCATTATAAATATTCGATTTACTTAACAAATGTGGACACATGCTAAAGAATATAACCTGAGTTTCTACCTTTCAAGTTTGTTTTCACAAGGCACAATTAATTTTCTCGATTTTCTTATAGCATTCAACGGTGAAAATTTGATGTTTGGGTGCTCATGCCCTCCATAGTAAACATTATATAACTTATATTTTTAAAAACATTTCTCTTAACTTGTTACGTACTATACACACTTATATAACTTTTTATATAAAATATAATGTTAAAAACATATAGATACATATTACTCTTAAGCTTGTTACTAAACTCTAATACGTGCTTTTAGGAGTAATAATTATTATTATGAAAGTTTATTGATAATATTTTTTTTATCTCTTATTTGGCAGTAGTGATTTAAGGCCATGGTTAGTATTAGTAGTAGTAATTACCTATTTATAGTACCAAGGTAACATTTATTAAGCATGTTTGGCAAGAGGGGATGGCACCGTCAATAGGTTTTAATTAATAAATAAACACTTTAATTTGTTAAAATATTGAAGAAAAAGTGGGTAATGCATGTGTTTTACCGTCCTTGATTCCTTTGTTGACGGTCAAACTTACAGTATGGAATTGCACCCTTCGAGATCAATCTTTATCTGTCATCAATACTAAACTATTCTACGCATGTCTCCACTCTTTTTTCTCCCTTCCACATTTTAACATATTAGGTACTATACATGAATTCATTTCAACTTGAAAACAAGCACAATTAATTAATTAATTAATTATGTATACTTATGACCTAGCTATTTTCAACATATTTTTATACTTAAACCTCAATGCGTCGTGTGTGCATAATAAGAATAATAATAGTACACTGTATCTGTGAAATTCCACATTGGAAGCTTGGGAGTTAGATTTTGGTCCATTTTGTCTCTTCACAAACTTTTGAGAAGGAAAAAATAACCCGCAAGACAAGGGTTGTTGTCCTGGCATAGGGGCACAAGGTGTAACAATAATTTTGCTAGCTAGCTATTTTCATTTTGGCCTATTAATTAATGTGATATACTACTGTGTGACAAATTTAAAATGATTAGTGGTTCTACATGGTATCCTATTACTAGTAAGTAGCTCGATCGCTATTGAACATGAACATGGTGTTAAAAAGAAGAAAAAAAAAGGTTGTCTGTGATGCATGAATAATTGTTGAGAGAAAAGTAGGAAAAGAGAGAGACAGTCCCGTTTGTAGCGGGGGAGCAGATTGATGATTAGGACGAAGAGATAATAGTTGAATAATGTGTCATATGGGATGGACAGAAACAGAATGTGAGAAAGTTATGGGAGATATGCTTCTTTCTTTCGTCGCATATAAAGAGAAACAAATAGAGAATCAAAGGACTCTCTTTCAATAGCTTTCTTATAATAAAAATTAGATGAGAGGGGGAAAGCAAATTAAGAAAGAATTCAATTATTATGTATTGTTAATTAATATGAAAAGGTTTAGTGATAAATTATTATTGATTACAGTAAAATTGATGTATATATTGGAATGATAGTGTAAAATGTATGTTTTGAAATAGGGAATTTGAAAAGGGAGTTAAGGTTGTGAGTTGTGAATTGTGATGTGATGGTGATAATAGGTCTGACATGAGGTGACCAATGTCCAAGTGGGGTTGAATGGATGGGTGTGGAGAGGGGCTGCGTGTGGTTTTTTGTCACGCTAGCTATTTTGTCAGAAAATTATTATTTCACCTTTCCCCTACAGCCATGAAAGAGAAACATACATGGATACATTCATCCACGTATTCTATACTTTTTGGATCCTTATTATCAATACATTTCATGTGTTAACACAAATACACATGGGGTCAAATATTTTCGAGACTTTATAATTCTTATCAATATCATTCAAATTATAATACGTGTAATTCATTAGATAATTATTATAAAAATTAATAGAATTAACAAGTATTTCATTTCTGACTTAGATATAGAGTCACCTTAAATTATTTACATTATATAATTCTTGCCATGACACTCATTGACTAATCTTATTCTAATCACCCACAAAATAACATTTAAATTTTCAAACCTAGCTTACATATATGTTTTAGAAGTTGGGCCGGAAAACCCTTGAAAAAAACACTGATACACAGGAGATAAATTAATTATTTTATTACTGCTCATGTGACTTTTCTTTTTATTTCTTCTTATTCATTGTTATACGTAGTGAATATTATTATACAAGGTTTCTTTTATTTAATACAAATTACATTATAAATATAACTCATTCATACGGTAGATTTCATGCATAATAAATATAGACCAGTATCCGTACAAAAATGTATGTTTAAAAATACATATATTAAATTATACACAAGACTGCCATTCATGTCCACACGTGTTTATGCATATGAATAATTACTAGCTTAATCTTCCATTGAATATTAGAATACAGCAAAATCTAATCATAAAAAATAGTGCACGTACGTACTGTAAAAATGTCAAATTAATTTAATTATATATGATTTATATAATCATTATCCATCGAGATAATAATTAAGAAATTAAAAATAAAACTTTTTATCACAAAATACAATATTCAATATTATTAATATGCTCTTTATAATAAAGTATATTTATTTATTCATTTCTTAACTGTTAATTGAAGTCTTCTAAAAAACAAACTATTATTTGAAGTATTGATTTCACAGAATCATTTTTTTCAAAGGACATAAAAACGTAGCATCTTCTAGTAGTGAATACAATTTTTAACTAAAAAACAAACTCAGTTCATAATATCTAACTTTACACTATGAAAAAGTAAGGTATCACATATCACATCAGAAAATTTTTTTTCTTCATGAAACATTAAAGGCAAAGAAACACGTTAGCACTAGTGATTTTGTGCTGCAAGTCACATCTCAGAAATGCACCAGAATGAATGGATACACTGTATCACAACAATGCATTATTTTATCAACAAGGTTTAGTAACACCATAGATATCGTTGGATTTCTAAACATGATAAAAGGGGTTGATTTCTAATTATACAGACGAAAATATAAAAACTATTAAAAAGTAATACTCATTTAGATTATTTCTACATACTTGAAAAAAAATTACTCTCCGAATGAGAACGCATTATTTTTCAATTGCACGAGCAAATAGCAGTGTGTTTAGACTAGTGCATTAATTATGAAAAATGGTCCCCGTGAATCTTTTCATTAACCTTGAAGCAATTAATTTTATGATTCAACGATTTCAAGTGCCCTAGAATAGTAGAATATATTAGACGCGTCCCATTTCTATTGTGTGCGCGTGTATGTGCATATCACCCAGAAGAAAGAGAAAATTCAGAGTATAAATATAAGTTTAAGTATACTATAAATGTTCTCTCATCTCTATGCTATAAATGTTTTTTTTCTTCATTTTTGAGCTCTTCAAGAATTTGACCCTTCTTCTCCTCTTCTTCTTTTCTTTCTGGCCTCCTCATATAAACTAGTATATGCTGCTTCTTCTACATGCATAAACCGCTATTTATCTTCTTCTAAAGTTTACCTTAAGGGCTTAGGAGATCTTTGTGATCATTAATCATGGGGTCTATGAATTTGTTGGGGTTTTCTCTCTCTCCTCAAGAACACCCTTCGAGTCAAGATCACTCTCAAACGGCACCTTCTCGTTTTGGCTTCAACTCTGATGGAATCTCAAGCACTGATGTAGCAGGAGAATGCTTTGATCTCACTTCTGACTCAACTCCTCATTTACTCAATCTTCCTTCTTATGGCATATACGAAGCATTTCACAGAAACAATAATATTCACACCACTCAAGGTTTTTTTTTTTTTTTTTCACTTCTTCCCACACAGCTTTATAAACATATAGTATTATTTTTCTTGGAATCTCCCTAACTGCACCCTCATCAATATTCACAAACTAAACTAAGAAACCCAAAGGAGAAAAAGAGAAAATTATTCAATAAGATGTTCAAGCTTCTTCATTTTTCCCCCTTATTTTTCTACCAAGGGTTTTTTTTTTTTTTTTTTTTTTTTTTTTGTGTAAGCCCTTGTGAGAAATGATATTTGATAGATATGTTTGTCATTAATATTGCTAGATCAAAGAGATACTTTAATTTCTGTTTTCTTCTAATCATTTTTGTTTCTCAGATTGGAAGGAGAACTACAACAGCCAAAACTTGCTATTGGGAACTTCATGCAACAACCAAAACATGAACCACAACCAACAACAGCAACAACAACAGCCAAAGCTTGAAAACTTCCTAGGTGGACACTCATTTGGTGATCATGAGCACCAAACATACGGTGGTAACTCAGCCACAACAGATTACATGTTTCCGGCTCAGCCGGTAGCGGCCAGTGGCGGTGGCAGTAGTGGTGGCGGCGGCAGTAGTGCGAACAATAGTAACTCGATAGGGTTGTCAATGATAAAGACATGGTTGAGGAACCAACCCCCACACTCAGAAAACAACAATGAAAGTGGTGGCAATAGCAAAAGTAGTGTGCAAACACTATCACTTTCCATGAGTACTGGTTCACAATCAAGCTCATCGTTGCCCCTTCTCACTGCTGGTGTGGATGGAGAGAGTTCTTCAGATAACAAACAACCACTAACCACAGTTGCACTTGATACCACACAAACTGGAGTCATTGAAACTGCACCCAGAAAATCCATCGACACGTTTGGACAAAGAACTTCTATATACCGTGGTGTAACAAGGTATTTTATTTTAAACCTATGAAAAGATATGCATGAATATTTATTATTTGTTATGTATGAATATGAGCCGTCACAAATCTTTCATTACTGCTTCACATCCCAGTTTTAAAAGTTCCTTTAGTCAGTTTCGTTGTTGTAACAAGTTTTTTTTTTTTTTTTTTAATTTATTCTATTGATTTTTTAAAATAATTTGTGAGAATGATAATGAAATTAGTTTTTTTTTTCCTAATTGAAGGCATAGGTGGACAGGGAGGTATGAGGCTCACCTGTGGGATAATAGTTGTAGAAGAGAGGGACAAACTCGCAAAGGAAGGCAAGGTATGATATACAATGTTTATCTAATTTTATGCTTATTTTTTTTAGTTAATGTTCATTCTTTATACTTCCCCTTTTTCACGTTTGTGTGTTCATGACCAACTTATAATATTAATTAACTTGTGTTCTTCATCTCTACATCCATTATGGAATGATGGCTTTCTTCAACATACATGACCTTTCAGTTTACTTGGGTGAGTACAAAATATATATTTTTTTAAATTATATATTTTTTTTAGGCAAAAGTAAGAAGAAAACTTCAAATTTGTTCACATTGGTTATCATTTGTCGTCACTACTTGCAGGAGGTTATGACAAAGAAGAAAAGGCAGCTAGAGCCTACGATTTGGCAGCACTAAAATACTGGGGAACAACTACAACAACAAATTTTCCTGTAAGTTACCACTTTTATTTTATATTCTTTTCCTTTTATGCTCAATAAATTAAGGGTCGTGTTGCACGTATAGCCCTAGGCTAAGTTAGCCTTGGCATTAACAATGGTGAATATATAGGGAAGCTTCAATATATGGTGATCTACTACTAGAGAGCACATTGTATAGTTGGTGTCACTGTCAACGAAAAAGTTTCCATATTTGATGGGATGTGTCTCTTCGTAGAAGAAATTCTGTTATTTGTCTTATAATGCAAACAATGTATGTGTACGTGATCACTTGATGTAGTAGTTTTATGACATCGAATTCTTTATGTCTTCGTCAACAACCGATGCATTTTAGATTAGCCACTATGAGAAAGAGTTGGAAGAGATGAAGCACATGACTAGACAAGAGTACGTTGCGTCGTTGAGAAGGTATTTGCAAGTGCCACTTCTTATAATCTAAATATTAATTGGTTTATTTTTCTCAATTTTTTAAGAGATGAATTATTTATTGATAATATAAAATAAATTAATCACGGTGCCACAGGAAGAGTAGTGGGTTTTCTCGCGGTGCATCCATTTATCGAGGAGTAACGAGGTACGTTGACTAGACACTAATATACGTCTCTGATCAAAAAAGTCTATCGTTTATGTGAATACTGAATACCATGTTGGACATAAATTAATGATTCATGAATGTGCACTTGAAAAAGCTGAACTTTTAGAAGAATTAATCGTTTCTTAAAATAATTTAACATTGAAGATTTTTTTAAAGAAAAAATTGATCAGTGAATTTAGTGTTGCGTAGCCAATTATATAATTTGATTTGTGTTTGCTTGAGTAGATAAAATTTAGAGAAGAAAAATTCAAATAATGAATATTTATACTAGTTTTTTTTTAATTTAATTATTTCATTGCAGACACCATCAACATGGTAGATGGCAAGCAAGGATCGGAAG